GGCGCTGTCCCTCAGCTCTTCAGCTCAAGGCGAGTGCTCTACCACTTGAGCTACAGCGCCACTTCCGGTTTTCTGGTGGTTTATTGGAGATAGGATTGTCACGGTCTCTCCTGCCCAGGCTGGCTTTGAACCGTAATCCTCAGATCTCAGCCTCCTGAGTAGCTAGGGTTACAGGCGTGAGCCACCAGCGCCCGGCCTACTCACAGACTTTCTTACATGGTCTGGCTTTGATCTGCAATCTTCAGATTTTAGCTTCCTGAGATTACAGAAAGTGAGATACTGATTACAGAGAAGTGATTACACTGAGAACTACAGATGTGAGATACCAGTGTCTGGCTACACAATATTCTTAATGCACCTGCATTTTGAATGTGACTGTGTTCTTATTTGTGACTCTGTTAATAAATGTTTCAAACTTTATTCTTCTTATTTCAGACCCTCTGAACTTCCTAAAGATATCAAGGTGATATCACCAGACTTCCCCTTTTTGACAGTTATTTTGACTATAGTTAGTTGGACAACATGTGGAGCACTCGCCATACTTCTTTCTTATCTTTACTATGTGTTTAAGGTATGTCAAATCACTAAAGCCAGAATGGAATGCTCTGTGTGCCTTGTTAAGTTTTAAATACTACTATAGTATCATCTTCTGTTATATAATAGATTAAAATGTAAAGGTTTTGTAAAACGTCTTGGTCATTTAAATCTTATACACTTAAGAATAGAGCCAAAATTATTAATGTAAGTTAGATTGTTTTTTGTTAAGTGAGGTTTTTTTGGGGAAGGGAGAGGCTAAAAAAGAGATTTCTTAGTTTTGCTTCTTGCTCTTGAAAATGTCAGCTTTTCAACATTTTATTACAGCAGTTTTATTCACATCTCTAGAAACATGGCAAAGAGAAAAAAAAAGTTGTGTTGATATTACCAGTCATGGTGAGATAGCACAAAAATAAACAACATTTTCAAGAAGATTAATGCTTTGTAGTAAAATCCAGGAACCCAGGATATTACACAGTAGCAAACTCTGCATATTAGTTTTATGGACAGTTGAAAGAACATTTGATAATTATTTTTACTTTTTTACAGAAAATAAATTTGACTGTGTTTTTACAAAAGGCTTATATGTTTTATTTCAAAGGGCACATGAAATTAAATTCATTTATTTTCCTAGATTGTTCATCTGCAAGCCAACCTAACAACTTTAAGAAATAACCAGCCTATGGTAAGTTTTACTTTCAAAATTCTACATAGCTTTGGTATGAAGGAACATGAGGAAAAAAGGCGTTTGTTTTTAGGAATATTAGGATTTTATATTGCTAAAAAGGTTATTATTAATTTAAATATTTCAATTTGTTCTCATGCCTGTGTCATTCTTTTTTGTCACTTCTGGGGCTTGAACTCAGCCTCGGCACTGTCCATGAGTTTTTACTCGTTTAGCACTACCATTTTGAGCCACAGCTTCACTTCTGATTTTCTGGTGGTTAACTGGAGATAAAGAGTCTCTCAGATTTTTCTGCCCTGGCTTCAAACCATGATCCTCAAATCTCAGCTTCTTGAGTGAGTAGGATTATAGGCATGATCAACCAATGCCTGGTCCACACCTATGTCATTCTTGTTATTATTACAAAATAATCTATTTTGAATTTTGTTTGAGTAACTACTTTGAAGATCTATTCTCAACATTAAAATCACAAGTCAGAGGACTAGCTATGCATTGTAACACACAAGAGGCCAAGACAGGAGGATTGCTTTGACCCAGGAGTTTTGAGACAAGTCTGGGAAACATACTAAGACCCCATCTCAAACTAAACAAAAAAGAATAAAAGTTTTATAAGTATAACCATGTTCAAGTACTTGTAAACAGGATAATTTGAGTATTTAATTTTGATAATGAAAAATGTACTTATTTAGCTCTCAGGTAATTGAGTATGATTCTAAACAAAATGTATCTTAGACTTTGTTCATTTCGTAGCTTGACATATTTGCTTTATTTTATAGAATCCCAAACACTCTAGAAGAAGTGAAAAAAAATCCAATCACCATAAAGACTCTTCAGTACACCATCTTCGTTTATCTGCTAATGATGCTGAAGATAGTCTTCGCATGCACAGTACAGTGATTAATTTGTTAACCTGGATCGTACTGCTCAGCATGCCATCTTTAATTTATTGGTTAAAGAACCTTAGGTGTGTTGTGTTTTTATAAGTATTATTTACATGATTCAGACAATAAACATTATAAGTAGATACTTGCTAGATTTCTAATGATCCATGAAAATTACTCAAGAACAGGAAGCTTTATGTTACCTGTGATTTGTTTTCAGTACATTCACATTTCCTCATTCACTAAAAGAATATAAACTTCCCACTAAAATAGACCAACAAGTGATTTGTGCTCTTTTGGTTTAGATTGTTTGGGGAATTGGCGGTTGGTCCTGAGTCTTGAACTCAGGGCCTGGGTACTATCCCTGAGCTTTTATGCTCAAGGCTAGCACTCTATCACTTGAACCACAGCTCCAGTTGTGGCTTTGGGGTGGTTAATTGAAGATAAGAGTCTTACAGACTTTTCTACCCAAGGTGGCTTCAAACTACCATCCTCAAATCTCAGCCTCGTAAGTAGTTACGTTTGCAGGCATGAGCCACCAGAGCCACCAGCACCTGGCTAGAAAAAATTTATTAGCATATATTGAATTTAAAAAATGATGGATTTCATTATGAGATTTTCAGATATACACATACTTCAACCATATTCATTCCTTATTACCCTCTCTTGCCCTGCTCACACAATGGTCCTTTCTTTTTCTCAAATAATCTCCTTTTTCCATTCTTTTGTTTTTCTTGCTTAATCCAGATTCTACATTTAAGAAAAGCATGAAATATTTATCTTTCTGCTTCCAGTTTATCTGACTTAATATGATGATGTCCCATTCTATCCATTTTCCCTCAAATGCCATCACTTTACTCTTTTTGACTGAAAAGTTCTCCATTCTGTAAATATACCATGTACTACTTCAGTACTTCAGTCTAAGTCATTTATACTCTCTTGATTCACTTTTTCTAGGTTATGTATGTCTAGATATTTATCTCTTCTTTTAGGTCTTTCAATATATTTGAATTTAAATTTTCAGAATGCTCCCCGTGGTCCTCTGAATGTCATTGGGATCAGTTGTAATATCCCCTTATTTGGCTCAAATTTGGGTCTTCTCACTCTTGATTACTTTGCTTGTCAAAACAAAGAATGCTTTGTTTTGTTCATTTTTATGTATTTTTCTTTTTTAATTTAATTTAATTTTATTGTAAAGGTGATGTACAGACTGGTTACAGTTACGTAAGTAAAGTAGTGAGTACATTTGTTGTTGAACATTGGTACCCCCTCCTTTGGCTTTCTCCCCCTTTCTCTCCCCTCCAAGTTGTCAAGTTCATTTCCAACAGTGTCTTGTGAGTATCACTATTGCACTGGTTTACCCTTTGTCCTTTTTCTCACCATTTTGTTATTCCTCTTCCCTTCCCCAAATCAGATAAACATATATACAAAACACAGGGTGCCAAAATCAAAAACAGTGACAGCAGGGGATAAACCAAAGTGGGGGAAAGAATGAAAAAAGAAATAACTTCACACAATACATTAAAAAACAAACCTCTTGTTTCCATTTCTTGGAGTTCATTTTGATTAGCATCATTTTATATGGTTATAGGTACATAGCTATTGAGCTATTGTGATCCTCTGCTAGGACTATCCTAGACATACACTGATCATTACAAATGAGGAAAAACATGCAACCTATGTTTCTTTGAGTCTGGCTTACTTCACTTAATATGATTTTTTTCCAAGTCTTTCCATTTCCTTACAATGAGAGGATGTCATTCTTTCTGATGGAAGCATAGAATTCCACTGTATATATACCACATTTTCTTAATACATTGTCTATTGAGAGGCATCTAGGTTGGTTCCATGTCTTAGCTATGGTATAATGCTGCAATGGACATAGTTGTGCTGGTAGCTTTAGTGTGGCCTTGTTTTGTGATCATTTTGTATTGTTCTTTTACTCCCATCCTCTTTACTTTCTTTCTACTCAAAATTTGAGTTTGGCTTGTTCTTGTTTTTCTGAAGTCTTCAGGTTCATCAATGGGTGTTTTGAGATCTCTTGTAGTCGATCATAGCTATAGACTTCCCTTTTACAACTGCCTCTGTTGTGAATATTCTAGATTGTTGGATTTTCACGTCAAATTCTAGCATTTTTATTTTATTTTTTCCCAGTATCAGAGCTTGAACTCAGGACATGTACTCACTTGGTTTGCTGCTGGTTCTGTACCATGTGAGCCTTATTTCCAGCCCATAATTCTAGGAATTTTTTAATACGCCTCTACAATTTCTTCAATGATCAATTAATCATTCAAAAGCATATTATTCAGGTTGAGTGCTGGTGGCTCATGCCTGTAATGCTAGCTACTCAGAAGGCTGAGAGCTGAAGATTACAGTTCAAAGCTAGTCTGGGCTGGAAAGTCTGTGGGACTCTTATCTCCAATTAACCACAGAAATTGCCTAGAGCAAAAGGAGCTCAGGGAAATGTTCAACTCAAGTTTAAACCCCGGGACCAGGGGAAAGAAATCTAGAAGTGGAGCTGGGGCACAAGTGGTAAGAGTGCTAGCCTTCGACAGGCCCTGAGCTCAAGATACACACACACACACACACACACACACACACACAGTTTTTATATACGTTTATGTAGTTTGTCTAGTTACTTTTGGTGTGATTTCTAATCTTATTCCTTTATTATCTGATTAGATGGTTTTAAGTCTTAAGAATTCTTTCTCTAAGAATTCTTTCTCTTTCTTTTTCTTTTCTTTTTTTTTTTTGGTAATACTTCCTTTATGTCCTTATATGTCCTATAATTTAGAGAAAGTTTCGTGGGAAGCTGAGAATAATATATGTCTGCAGCTTATGTTTATACCTATGAAGGAAGTATTACCAAACTAAGTATCCTTTCTAATATTCTTTAGTGGTTTCTGAATATAATCCTTCATATAAAACTTTAGTACAGGATGATCTAATGAATCGTTCATAGCTCTCTTGTATCCATATTGTTAATGGGAGTATGTAGGAAAATTATTGAATTTGATTGACTGTGATCATTTAAAATTCATAGTTCTGCCTTGTTGATTTATGTGTATTTTTCCTTTTTATTTCAGATATTATTTTAAACTTAGCCCTGATCCATGTAAACCTTTGGCATTTATCCTTATTCCAACTATGGCAATTCTTGGGAATACTTACACAGTTTCAATAAAGTCAAGGTATAATAGTTTGCTCTTTCCTTTTCTTACATTTGCTTCTATCACTGTTTTGTTTCTGAAACATACTTTATTTGCATTTAAATTGGCCATTTCTAAAAGTAATGTCACATGACTTGCATGCAAATATCTTATGCTTTTTTTCTGGGATGGTTTTTTGTTTGTTTTTGTTTTTTAGACAGTACTGGGTTTGTACTTGCTAGGTAAGCACTCTGTCAGTTGAACCCTTTTCATCTCAAGCCCTGTGCTCTACCACTTGAGCCATAGTACCACTTCTGGTTTTCTGGTGGTTAATTGTAGATAAGAGTGTCATGGACTTTCCTGCCCAGGCTGGCTTTGAACTCAAAGCTCAGCCTCCTGAGGAGGTAGGATTGCAGGTGTGAGCCACCAGCACTTCCTTGTTATGACTTTTAAATGATGTGATTTTAGATTCTAGCTGTTAGCCTAGATATTTAGGAGGCTGAGAAGGAGGCCAGCTTCGTCAGAAAAATCTGCAAGACTCCAACTCCAATTAATCAGCATAATGCAGGCCAAGAAGCTTGGGGAGGGGGGTGTAGATTGAGTGACAGTTGCTTATGGGTCTTAAATTAAAACACTACCAGCACAGGGCTGGCGAGGGGGATGCATAAAATAATGATTCCAACTAGTCTGAGGCCTGCCCAGACAAAAAGTTAGCAAGACCCCATCTTAACCAATAAGCTGATGTGGTGATCTATGTCATCTCAGCTACAGAGGAGATATAAATAGGATTGCAGTATAATACAGTCCTGATTGGAAAAATAACAGAATAGCTAGGGACTTGGCTTACGCAGTAGAATGCCTGTCTAGCAAGAAAGAGGCCCTGGGTTAAAACCCCAGTAAGAAGAGGGGGGAAAAAAAGAATAAAAAGAGATATAGGTAAAATAAGACTGGTCTTAATTTAGTAATTTTTGAAGCTGAATAATTGGTACTTGAGGGTAAATGTTTGAGAAACTCCCTAATATGTTTACTGATTATTTGCTCTAGAGCCTTTTTGGATTGATTCTTGAAAATACTTGTAACCATTCTAGAATTAAAGAGACCTGAGGTTTAAGTCTTGGCCTTGTCATTTAGTAGCTATCTGTTATCAGGCAGTTTTTTAATGTCCCTTACCCCCAGTGTCTATTTTCAGTGTAAAACAGTGCCAGATTTTGTTTAAAGTAGTTTTCCTTTTTTCTTTCTATTTTGTTTGCTTGTTTGTTTATTTGTGCCAGTCCTAGGCTTGAACTTAGGGCCTGCAAAACCCTGAGGTTTTTTGCTCAAGGCTTGTACTTTCCCACTTGAACCACAGCTCTGTTTTGTTTTAAGGCTAATTTTAAAACATGATCCTCAGATCTCAGCTTCCTGAGTAGCTAGGATTATAGGCTTGAGCCACTAGCACACTGCCTAAAGTAGTCTTCTTTAAATAAAAATGTGTCTTAACTTACTAAATTTAGGAAGTTTTTTGTTTGGTTGGTTTAATAAGTCAGATTAAAATAAACATTTCTGTAGCTGTGTCTTAGCAAACATTCATTTGTGTTAGGATAAATTTTTAGGTTGAATTGTAGATTGAAACTCCAGGTATTATTTTTTGATTAGTAAACTTGAAAGAACAAATTATATAGCTGTCTTGTAGATAGAAATGTTTTTCCCCTTTTCTAAACAAATACATCTTATTTTTCATTGTATAACAGTTCCTTTCAAATCAGGCTAGAATCTTTACAAAAATCTTATAATTTATTGACATGTCTCATATTAGCTCACAATCGAGTTTCCATAATAATTGTATATTTCTCTATCTCTTCACAGTAAATTGTTGAAGACTGCCTCCCAGTTCCCACTTCCTCTGGCTATTGGGGTGATTGCTTTTGGTTCAGCACATTTATACAGGGTTCCATGCTTTGTCTTCATTCCTCTTTTACTGCATGCATTATGCAACTTTATGTAAGGTTGAACTTAAGGAATGACAAGGATGATTTATGCTTTTAGGCCAGTAAATCACCGATCCACCAACATGGACAGCAAGGTCCTTTGGAGAAGACAAGTCTATTTTTACAAGTACTGAAAATAGGAAATTAGTTTTGTAATGCTACAGGAAAGTATCTGAAGCATGGTTTTGTTTTGTTCTGTACTAGTCACTTTTGACAAAAATTGGTGAACAAATATGGTGGCCACTGTCCTTGAGGACTCCTGTGCATATCAAGTAGTCTGATTCATCCGCCAGGGATCTCCTGGAGACTTGGTAGACACAGCATTATTTGTTGTCTTATGCAAAGCATTTTTGTTTGATCCAATTTTCTCCTGAAAAATTGATTGTTTGACATTTCCTATTTTCCAGAAAAACAAGTCTTAAAAAGATTGATGGAATTCAACACTGTTTGGTTTCTCAAAAGTGAAATAGCCATAGGCAGCCTTTGGTCAGGTTTTGGCAGCCATGATGAACAGTGGTAGATCTTATTCTATGGAAATAGAGCCTTGAATTATAAGGAGAAATCTTACTAGTAAGATTTCTGGGAAGGTGGCTCAGTGGTAGAGCGCTTACCTTGCATGCATGAGGCCTTGGGTTCGATTCCCCAGCACCACATAAGCAAAAAGAAAAAAAGCTGGAAGTGGTGCTGTGGCGCAGTGGTAGAGCGCTAGCCTTGAGTTGAAGAGCTGAGGGACAGCGCCCAGGCCCAGAGTTCAGGCCCCACGACCAGACCCCCCCCCAAAAAAAAAAGTTTAATGAGTGGAAACTTGATTGACACTGAAAACAATGAAATATACTTTCCAATTTCAAACATGAATTCTATTATGTGTTCTTAGAAAATATCTGGAGACTATTAAAGAGATCTATCGTTAATTTTAAGGAATAAACAATCTCACAAGTACTTACTGGCATTAGGGCAATTCATTTGTTCACTTCCTGCCATGTGATTTAACATATTGCCCCATGGTTGCCAAAAGTGCCTCAGGTGATGATAGATTGTTTAAATATGGGAATTCCAGTGGTTGGAAAAACTTACACATTTGTGCCATTTTTATCTATATAAAAATCAACATAATCAAGTGTGCTGTCACACATAATGTATAAAACTATACTAATAGTAGGACACCAACATGAAACAGCTATTATCCCATAAATATAAACAATATACCTGAATTAATTGGGCACCTCAGTCTTTGTTTTTTTTTAGTTTAATGCTAGGTTGTTTTTGTTTTGTGGGTATGTGCTGGTCCTGGGGTTTGAACTCAGGGCTTGAGCAATGTCCCTGAGCTTGTTGCACCAGGCTAGTCCTCTACCCCTTGAGCCACAGCTCAAAGCTTGAGCCACAGCTCAAAAGCTTCCAGCTTTGCATGGACTTTCCTGCCTGGACTGAACCATGATCCTAACATCTCAGCACCCAGTGTTCAGTCTTAGGTTTAACAGTGAGATCTTAATTTACCCAGGTGACTTATAAGATTATTGTTTAACAGTAAGTTTCTATTTTATCTCAACTTCAGTTCATTCTTAGCTACAGAAGATTAGGAAGAAGCACAGTAGAAGAGTACAATACTCTGCCTTCAGCTAGTTTATAGAGCCCTTCATTTAGATGCTCAAGTAAAGTTCTTATGCTTGGGTGATTCCTTAGTTGCTTGTGTGTCCTTATTATGCCCAGGGGGGTATTTCCTGTGTCTCTGGATTCCACCACAGCCTCTCACCTACGTACTGCCTAATAGAGAGTTAGTCCTGCTGTACTCACTTGAAGAATTACCTGATTTTCCTTCTTAGCTCCTCCTCAGCTCCTTGCTGTCCCAGCATTCGCTGAGGAAAGTCACCAGTAAAGTTCGTATGAATCCATTGTCATATTTTCCAGTTTTTTGCTTTATTCTTCAGTGTTCCTATTTTCACATATCTTCATACTAGACTTGGCAGACATTCCAAGCTCGTTTTTATTCTAGAACAGCAGCACAAGAAATAAGCCACACAATACTGTGTGTTCAGTATCTGAGAGGAAAGAGGATTTATTAAGATTATACACTTGTCTCATGGCATAACTAGGGACACATGATTATATTTGGTTTTATATGTATATGTGTGTATATTTACATGTTATACATACATACATATATATGCAATCTTTCATCTTACCACTGATATTATACTGCTGTCTCAATTTATAAATTAAATGTTGAGTTAATTTTTTCTGAATTTGACCTTAGGTCCATATACGGAAAGAACTTGAAAACCACTAATCTATCAGCAGTCATTATTATTACATTTGTGAGACCTAAAGTCTCCTTGTTTAGTCTGTATTGGTCATGAATAAAATAACAAGCTTGATTTTTTTTCATGGGTGGTATATTTGCTTCTAAAGCAGCAGACTAGCACACTAATTCTTACTAAAGTTTTTTTGTGTGTGAGAACTTAACCACCATAATATTTCATCCTAAGGACTAAAAAGCAGATTTTAATTAAACATTTTATAAACAATAGTGGGTTGTGTTTTTAACCATTTAATATATACATGCACAACACACATATACATGGATATATACATATATCTATAATACATATGTTTGTACACATCTATATTGACATTCTGACAGGATCTTCAACAAGCATTTCAAATATAAATGACTACTAGGAGTAAGGAAGAAGGCTGTTACTGAAGATTAACAAAATTGACATTTCTTTCACTTAAGAAAAGGAAATGCTTTCTGAGCATGGGCACTCCTGTAAATCCCCCTACTTGAGAAGTGGAGGAAGGCTAGACTGGGCAAGAACATGAGAGCCTATCTGAAAAATAAACTGAAAGCAGAAGGAGTGGGACCATATTTCAAGTGGTGAAATACTTGCCTAGCAAGCACAAGGCCCTGGCTTCACTTCCCACTATCTCCAAAAGAAAAGAACTTTCACCTGAAAATGAGTTACTTTCTATTTGCTTGTGACTTATTTAATGGTAGAAAAGCAGCAAAACCCTAGTGATATTGTTTAAAGTGAATTGGCAGTTAGATATTACCTAATTTTTAATTCAGCAAATTTCTGAATTCTAGGGGCTGGGAAGGTGGCTCAGTGGTAGAGTGTTTGCCTCACATGCATGAGGCCCTGGGTTCGATTCCTCAGTACCACATAAGTAGAAAAAAAGCCGGAAGTGGTGCTGCGGTAGAGTGCTCACCTTGAGCTGAAGAGCGGAGGGACAGTGCCCAAAGCCCAGAGTTCAGGCCCCATGACCGACAAAAAAAAAAAAAAAAAAATCTGAGTTCTATTAGGACTTGGTTTTTAGGAATTGTTGAAATCTTCAGTAAACTTTGTGCTTGTAGAGTAACTTCTGTGTTGATAACTACACAGATACAGGAAAAACAGAAAACAGTGAATATTGTCATTATTTCTAATGCCCCTTCTATAGTTACTATGGCTATAATTTAGAACTGATCATTTGATTAAAAATACATTAGTATGTGCAGGTGGTATGTGTATATGTCTGTAAGTATGTATGTGTATGTGTGTTTTGAGAATTGACTCCGGACCTAATGTTGCTGGACAAATGCCCTGACCCTTGAGTTTACCTACCAGCCCTTTTGTTTTTGAGATAAATTCTCACTAACTTTGCCCAAGCTAGTCTGGAACTAGCAATCTTCCTGACAGCCTTTCAAGTAGCTTAGATTATAGGCAGATACTGCTGTACTTTTTGTTCCTGAAAGCTCTTGGAACAATAAGGCAAACACAAATACTCTGAGGTAAAGTAAGGCAATTGATTCCAGAATCTCCAGGAATATCAGTTGGTTTATCTATTCATCTTAGGCATTCATGTAATGTCTTGCATTATTGTTTATCCAGTGCAAAATTTTTGAGGGTTGCACCTGAAATTTTAGGAATAAGTTTTTAAATCACTTAGGAAAAAGTCCAGAAATTCATAGGGACTTTCTGTGACTAGGCATTTGTTGATTATTTTTCATCACTCTTTGCTTTCTCTATGTGGGATTTTTGAAGTTATGTATCATAGGAAGCAAAATACCTTGTTGTGAAGTTTATTAAGAGGGAAATCAATTTGTACAGCTTGAAACCCATCATCATAAAGGAAGCAATAAAAGTGTCTTTATATTGGGAAATTAGATTGCCAGGAATGCTTCCTTACCAAGTAATTATTAGTACAGAAGATGCCTTTACAAATTGGAAAATATGTGGAAACTGAAGTATTATCCCAGTCTTTTTTGAGGAAACATTTTAAGTAAACTTACTTATGTACATTATTCATGCATTCTTTGACAAGTTTTAGTGCCTAAGGAAATAAGAATGCTCTGAACCTATTCACATTCTTGACTTTTTATAACAATAGGAAAGAAAGGTCAGATAGGCAGACCAATCCAATGTATGCTGGAAATACTTTTACTTTTTAAAGTAAATGATATGGTAAGTAAAGATTGAACCATACAAATTTTGAGAACACAATACATTTGGGAATTGAGCAGACAGGTTGTCATTCCAATTAATAGGATAAATCTAACAATCCATGAGAACTGGCAATCCTCACAAATTAGATGAAATTCTAAGCTATGTGATTAGGTTATTTGTGATTAATAATCTTAAATCAAGTACAGTATTTCCTGAAAGTGTTTGGCACATTTTGCTGTTGAAACCAGTTAATTTCTGATGACTTTGTATAGGACTTGACATATGAATCAGTATCATTGTGTAATCATTCTGTTCACTAAATGACTTAACATTTATGAAAAACTGTTAGTGTGTCTTGATTAGTGTAATTTGTATATGTATTTGAATTCTAATCTTAGAGTCCAAAGTAGCTGCTTTTCGTATGCTATCTTTTAATGTTACTTTGATTTTTAGTATTTATATAGTAGTACATTACTAGTAAAAAGAAGTTTATAAACAAAACATATAGCTATTACCTGTTCAAAGGCCTAAATGATAGCCAAATTTTGTATTTCATGATGTATTTGTTGCATTTCATATGGGAGTTTTTACATCCCTTTTCTAGGAAAATAAACATTTGTGCTCTTTTCAGTATAAGACTCTGCATTGGAAACACAAAACTATTCATATGGTTAGCAAAACATACTTTGCCACCAAAGCTAAATGAAATTGTAAAATACCTCTGGATATTTGTGCCAATGAATTTTTCTTAGTGTATTGGGATTAAAACAAAAATCATCTTCAGTATTTTTCATCTAGAACTTATAATAAATATGTATATCATGAAAACTTATATTCTGTATTTTCTTTGAAAATATTCAGAATTACAGCACAGTATGTTGTGTTTGGTCTGATTTCTTGAATGTTTCCAGATGTCATTGGATAAAAATTAGTTCAGTCAGTAAATGGTCTTTCCAGTTAATTAAAGTTACCATTTCAGATAATGTTGCTTTGTATTTGTGATGTGAAAAATTAGTTTTGTTGAACAGGCCATTTTTGGTACAGGTGTCTCAGTAATGTAATTGATACTTTACTTTGGACTTTTTTTTAACTTTGGACTTTTTAAAATATATATTTCTGTTCAGTCTCTATATGGTCACTTTTCACAGGGGG